CCCTACTCTTGATGCGTTGAGTCCGACATTTCAAGTGCTGAGTTATACATAGGGCCACCTTGCCCTTCTGTGCTTCATGTCGGGTTTAGCACCTACCAGGGCCTGGGAGTCACGCACAGGATGCCTGAAGCGAAAGCGACCCATCCGGGAGGAGACTTGGCAACAGCTCCAAGCTAAGACTGCTGATGAGGAAGAGCATCGCGGCCCGTGCCCGGACTCAAAGCCAGAGAAGAAGTGCGCTGAAACAAGAGTTGAAGATGAGAAAGCTGTCAAGGTTCGCAAGCACGCTGAAACCCGCAGGTTTGTGAAGCAGCTTTTTACGTCGTATACCGACAAGGCTGTTTTGCAGCGGGAGAGCACCGCTTTGAAAGCGGAGAACGAAGCCTAGATCTAAGCTTTCGGAGCCTTTGGATTCCCAGGCTGTGTTTGGGGATCCTCACCTCCTCCGCGATGGTCATGACTCCCAGTTGGGTTTCATACTGTAGGTTCGACTTTGGTGCAAGCTGCCGGAAGCGCAGCGCGGGGTTGGCATGCAGGGCTGCCGGCATGGCTGCGCTGCACCACGGTGCTAACGCAGCTGGGCCATGCATTGCAGGGGAGACAATGAAGCAACACCTCACTTTTCGGCTGCAGGAGCTGTGCGGCACTGCTGTGCTAAGGCAAGCCTGGGAGGTGCGGCTGGTAGTGGCTTCTGCAGTGTGTTCGCTGGATGATGCGCGGGGTGTGAAAAAAGGCAGTGGAATGTGCTCTGGCATTATTCGCTATTGATATAATAATTCGGCGGAAAGCATCCAAAACAAAAACCCAGCGCTGCTATGTAGCGTCCTGCGCCGGTTTGAATTTTTCTTGATTTTGGCATAGCGCCTACTGCCTGATGCCGGTCAAGGGTTTCTGTACGCCCTTTGAAGCCCCTGTGGTTTTGAATACACGCCCTTGGACTGTTTTTGTCCTGCATCGATTTGAGTAGCTTGAACGAATCCTCTTTAGGCTCAAATGGCTTGAACCCCAGAAGGCCAAAAGGCTTTCATCCTAAAACAGTTTGAACCCTTCAGCGGTTTCGAACCCAAAACAACAGGGGGTTTCACCCCCCGGGCTCAGATGCATCACTTATAGCAGGAGGTCACAACTTACGTCGATTATGACAGGCCGTGCCCCAATGCAGCTGCGTGCGAGGGGCTCCCAGTGCTTCTTCCACACAACCAGCTTTGATTGCGATGCCTGATAGCCAACTTGTGCCAGACAGCTGCCCGTAAGCACGGGGACCACTGCTGCCATGTCTGTGACACCACTCATCGGCATCTGCAGTTGCATCCGGCTCAGGGACCGGGTCTGACGTGACGCAGCGCAGATTTGTCCAGGAACACTTGCAGCAGAATCACTGATGGACACTACTTAAGTCGTACTAAAGCGGATAGCTACGTTTGGCTGGTGCCCCGGGCAAATAGGCTGCTTTTCAGGTGGGAGCCCGGCTCAAACATATAGACCGGACTTCTGCCATGGCGACGCAAGCTCCCGTGGGCGGAGATCAGCGTTTCTGACAGCGCCCTGCGGCACCTGCTCTTCTCCTCCGGTCAGGGCAAGTCGTACGGGGTCGAGCAGCTTCTGGTGGCGCCTCACCGCAAACACCCAGGCAATCCCCCAGTCTTGGAAGTCCTGGCATGGCACTTCGCGCAGGTCCTGGAAGGGGCTGGCCCGAATGCTACTGCTTTTCCGGTACAACACCCCGGCTTGAAGCAGGTCCTGCATGATGCCTTCCACAGAGAGGTCAGTGTGCGACTGAGCCCCCTTCAGGGGTAGTCTTCAGCCGACCGAACAGCGGCACTATGACTGGATTGCGGACGTCAGGGACGAGACCTGCAGCCTTATGAGCTGTCCGGACAGACCATCATGAGCCTGCAAGCCTCGCCGTGTCTATCTTTCCCCGGAGGGGCCGCTTGTGGGTCAACTCTACAAGCAGAATAAGACACACTTCCGCAGTGAGGTGGCTGAACCGTCCATTGGGCTTTACAGTTCTCAGCAAGGTGCCTTGGGTTTTTGCCCCGCTACTCCAAGCCCGCGCCTCACATGGCACGACATGGGCGGATGCCATGACAGCCAAACTGGTAGTAGCCAAAGATGGTCGCCTGACCATTTCCCTGCTGCTACCAAGTGGTTTGCAAAGTCTGGAGAGCGTGACTTTGTATTTTGGCGTTATAAGTGCCCTCTTCAGAAACATGTGGGACAGGGCCGAAATGGACGCTATCCTGGAGACCGACGCCAACTTCGAGATCGTCGCCTCCACAGCCAAGTCCATGTACGACCAAACCTGCAGATCATGCGGCATCATCAATCGGCTCATCATTCATATGCCCAAGGATGGTGTAGTCAAGCGAATCATGCGCATTGATCATCGGATTGGCGACACCATGGCCAAGACGAACTACCTCTCACAGCAGAAGCGGCTTCCAAAGGCAAAGAACGCCAGCCCAGCTGACAAGCGCCAGCGGGACAACAGCGACTGGCAAGAGTCAAAGTGGCACCACTCCAGCTGGTGGCAAAGCCACTATGATCAAGACCAAGGAGATCAAGACTACTCCTCGTCGTCCTCATGGCAATGGCGCAAGAAGTAGCGATGCCAATGGCTGGGGCCCCGGGCCAAGCTCGACGTGCTAAGCGCAGCTTTTGGGGGCGTCACTTCCCGGCCTAGATGCAGTACTTTACTTCCTTCACGGCAATGGCCGCTGCGCATTGCAGACGCTTTGCGCTTTTTTCGCACAATCTACATACCATTCCGCTGACAACATCGGGCAAGAAAATGCACTTGCCCTCGATCGGCAGAGACTCATGCTAAGGCGCATAGCAGTGGCGAGCCGCAACATTCCAAGTTGCACTCCGCAGGTACATTTGCGCTGTCATACACGATTGCTCCTGCTGTTGATGACCGTGGTCCTGTCACGTGGAGATCCTGAAAACCCCTCATGTGCTCGTCGGTCCACTCGGATACGGGGCAGCCGCAGCAGGCAACCCTGCTCGGTGGAG